TTGATTAGTTACTCTGCGTGTAGAATGCTTTCTTTACAGTCGTAAACTATTGCATTTCAGTCAAAATGGACAGCTCGTTGTGACATAAGAAGCCGCTATATGACCGTAAACATGTCGTAAACATGTCGCCAATATGTTGTCGTCCACATATGATACAATTAAAGACCGAAAACAAGTTTCATCGCTCAAACATGTTAATCACAATAAGGTTTAAAATAATTAACTCTCGCGAAAACTTGAACCAATGTTACAAAGAAAGGATTTCAGAGAAAACAATGAATTTTTAAAAATAAAGAGCATTGGTGTAAAATAAAAATGTTATTGATATTTCTATGGCGGACTCGTATCTCTAACAACAATTTGCCTTGCAAGCAAGGTTTTTAAAGCTTCGTTCATTGAGCTACAATATAAATTATATTGCTCCTGTAAATGCGTTACTTGTTCAGTTTCCCTCTTTTGATGTTAACAATTTCTTGGCGTAAGACAATTTATAAAAGAACAATTTTCACTGCGGTTGAAAGTCTGAAATCAGATCTGAAAGTTCGCGTAATTGAACGTTGAGAGTTGAGTTAACTCAATCTGGTTCTAAGTTGGTAAACGACACGCGTATCGCACAGTTACATCGTCTAAGCCATTATATCCATATTCATGCATGAATAAATTCGTCAATATCACATATTTTTACGTGTAGAATATAAGTAACTAACATGATATATTGTCAAAATTTTCTCGCGCGCACTCTTTGTTGTATATGAGGGTTGTGTGAAGGTCAATTTGATGGCACTCGTAAAAAAATATTTCTTCCAGCGTTCAAGATTTAAGTTTTTGCTTTTTGCTTTGTACAGTAGAAGCACACACTACAATACAAAATCTTTTTATGCATTAGTTTCTGCAGGGATTAATAGAATTTATAATTTATCACTGCATAACCTCCTAGATTCTGGGTAACTTTTTTTGTATGGTCGATAAAAATCGATTATCGGCTAGAGATAATTTATAAAAAATTTAAGATCGTGTGTGTCTTTCTGATCGAAAAATACTCTTTACATATTTTACTTATTTTTATTTGATAATATTCTCCAACATTCAAACATTTAAATTTATCGCGCAATAACATACCTGAATAAGTTTTTCTGAAAAGAAAATAAAACGGGTAAAAATATGAACACAATCGCTTGCTCATGTTTGCTTGAGAATTCTCCCCTTTATTAAAGTCGCAGTCCGCTAAGTCGCCTTCTCCAGGCAGTTTTTAATAAAAGAAAATATATCCAAGGCTTTCAAAAGGGAAATGCAGCGGCTGTTCTCACAGTGGCGGCACAATGGGCAGTTGCGTTAGTCCAACGAGGTAATATTGCCTTGTGCCGCAAACCACCAACGCTTTGGCAGATCTACCGCAATAAATGAAGTGTTCTTGTGTACACATTGTATCCCTTTGTTGGTGACGGTGAACAATCCAAAGTGAAATTCGGTCAAATGGGGAACCTGTTTGGGCTCCCAATACCGTTTGATAGCAACTATTAACGGAAGAGATATCTGTTCCACTAACAGAGATTTCTGTTTTTTTTTCTTTAATTGAAATCCTGTGTATTGCACTTAATATTTGCAAAAAGAAAAGGGTGTTATAAAATTATGAGAGGTTAAAATGTAGGAATCAAGAGCAAACTATGTAAGAAATCCGAATAATACGTCAAGCGAATGTTAATGCGAAGCCGTGCAGTTTTGCAATAGAGCCTCTGCGTTTGCACGATTTTTTTGCCGTCCACATGAGATCGCTTTACTCAATAAAGTAAATCCACCCATAAAAAAGGAGCGAAAAAAGGGATTAACGCTCGTTTAGCTTGAAAAAATTTAATCCGCGCGCTAGCGAGGACTAAATTTTTCATGCCAGGAGTCGTCAGATGAGCTTCGGAGGCTCACGTTTTTGAAAGAATCGAGATTGATGGAGCGTGAACAACTTTTATGGAAAAATCTTTGAAGATTAGAAGGGAAGTGGTATAATTATTTATCATAGAATGTGCCGTTGAAATCCTAAACGCAGATCCAACTCATTCATCATTCAATATTAAATTGGTATTTGGTAAATAAAGATTAAATTGGTATTGTCAATAACTAGGTAAAAAAGGGAGGAAAACATCAATAATTTATTCTGATGTTTTTCTGCAATTATCTCATTTACTTCATTACTTCGCAATCTGATTTCCCTTCTTATATTGTTTGCGGCATCGTTAGTTTACCATCTAGGATCTTAGTGTTCTATTTAGCCTACACAATAATATTTTCTTTAGTCCATCATAGAACATCTTAATTTAATTTTCTATTTAGGCTACCCTCTATTAATTTATTTAGTTCGCCATCGAATATCTTAGTTTTCTATTTAGTCTATCCATCAATATTTTCTTCAGTCCACCATAGAAGATCTTAGTATTCTATTTAGTGTACACAATAATTTTTCTTCAGTCCACCATAGAAGATATTTGTTTTCTATTTAGTCTGCCCTCCAATATTTCCGTTTTCTATATTACTGAAGCAAGTACCGCGCATGAGCAGCACAGCGGCACAGCACGAGCAGACAACAGCTGAGCAGTTGCGGCACTCACTCAAGACTAAGCAGTCGTACTCATGTTTTTGACGTCTTATTCATGTTTTTTACCATCAATTGAACGTTTTAATCGCTCATTAAGTTTAATACTTCAAAATGTTAATTGGGATTTCTATCTGGTCAACTGAATAGTTATTGATGCTTGATAAATTTGAGGATTAGAAGCAGTGAAAATGATTAACAGGAACACCAGTGCGAATTTCTTCAAGAAATCGGAATATTTTTATCCATCTTTACTTGTGTTGATTAATATACACGATGATAATAAGATAATAATTCTAATATAAAATATTTAAAATGCGTCAGGTTTGAATTCAGTGATTAATAAATGTTTGTTGATGAGTTTAACGCATATACAATGTTGAAGCTTCTTCACAATTCGCCGGTCGTTGGCTCGCACCTTCAGTGTAGACGCGCTGCGTCCGCGTTCGTGCGAATACATATCACAAGTTAATTAATTTATAAGTATTGCTCACTGTGAACTCTTTGAATGTGTTGAACACTCCTACATGTGAAAACTGTATGGATAATTTAATTTTGTATAGAAAACTGTTATTTATAAGGGAAAAAATATGCTAAAGTTGAAATGAACTATGACGAAAAACTTACCGTTGTCAGATGATAACCGAGTTCGCAAATATAAATGGTCGAAGCAAGGTGAATGCCAATTTATTTTATCTTCGAGACGAAACGAATACAAAAAATTGTTTCAACAAGCGCGCATTGAAATGAAGGGCTGCTGACACCTAAATTAAAATAAAAAATAAGCGTGAAATATTGTGTTTTTTCTCTTTTTCTTTGTAAAAGAATCTGTCTCATTAGCCCTGAAAAATTCTGCATACGAACTTCTCTTCACCATTCACTATTTCGTTCATCGTATGTAATGGTAGTCTCAATGTCACACGGACCTATCAAGGTCAAATGTTGTTTCGCAATGCCGTACGCGTAAAAAACGCCGTCGGCCATTTGTTAGACAAAGACGCGCCTACAATTTATTTATTTTTATTGATAAATTTTAGATAAATTAATACATTTATTTATCAATTTTATTCAGCAGTATTTTAGTTTTAAAATTCATGAAACATTTGTACAGAAAAAGACTTCTCTCAAAGCTCCAGAAATAGGATCCTGACGGTTGCCGGCTATCACAACTTCGATCCCAGCACCATACATATTACATAATTACATATAAATTACTAACTATATATTTAGAAAGTTATAAACAACAATGAGAGGAAGACTTAAAAGCAAGGCTGGGTTAATCAAAGACTGTGTTAATTGCTAAAATTATTGTATTCGAAGTTATGAACATGCGAAGTCGCTGTAAAACTGGACAACAAATTTAAACTTATTTTCTGTGGTATAACAGAATATGGATTTTCTTGTTCAGTTTTCGCGCTGAATTGGAAGATCAGATTGAAATTGCTTAATTAGATCAAGATATTATGCAATCTACTGTACCGTTTATATGTTTATGCATTTATTATACATAGATTACAATGAAAATGTAAAGTTATTTCGCGCTAGACATTCTAGGGCGTTGAGATGCTCGCATGTACACAGTTTGTGGACGTTCTCTTACCCCCGTCTTGCAGTTCTCTACCAGCATAGAGGTGTTCCATTAACCGATTTTTGATTTGACTTTTTCCTGATGAAAGTGTCCATCATGTTATTCAAAAAAGTTTCTTGCACTGGCGTCACCAGCTTTAAGAAAGTAGGGGACGGAGCTAAGTCCCCAGGTTTCAAAAAAATATAACTCAGTACTCACTGCAGTGAGTGACAAAGAGCGCATTTTCTCGTCGACGAAAACGGGAAGTCACGGACGGACGGAGCACAATAGTGAATTTTTTCCATAAATGAGAAAATGCGCTAAAAAGGAAACGGGGCCAAGCCCTCGGGTTTTAAGAATATGGGGGTCTCTGTGAAATTTTGATTTCTATATCACGTTGCCAAATATATACAGTATAATTAATGAGCGAATCCGAATTTTCGATACACAATTGACTAATAAAATAAAATCTCTAAATTTCGTAAAAATAAATAATAAAAAGATAAAACAGTTGAATGACATGAAAATCTAGTTACAATAGTTTCTAATATCTGATTCGCTTTGAGCGCTCTTAGTTGATTAGGAACATTCTGAATGATTAATCATCAAAATTTCCACTGATTGTTGTAAGGCTTCTGAATTGTAATATTTATATTCAATGTTATATAAGGAAACTCAGGAATATCTTTTCCTTAGATTTCAACATTATCTTTAGTTGTGCATTACGATGATTTTTCAGCACTTCTGATGAATATTTTATAATAAATAACACAGTTGCTACGATGAATTACGTATTTATTTGGTGTACCATTAAAATTGTTGTAAAGAACTGAACTAGAAAAATTATGCCGGAAATAAAAATTATTTTCCTCTATTTTTACAGCATTTGAAATCATGCGGTCGCTTAAAATAATTAATTCCTCAATTTTATACAACCGCCTCATTACCCAGTTAAAAAGTTCACTTCTCGTAATTTGTGATGAGAATTTTACGCAAACAACTAGGCCACATGCTCTAAAAAAATTCTCATCTCTAGTTAGACATAATCCAGCTGCCACAGAATTTTTCTCGAAACGAAGAGAAAATTCGATTGCAATTAACCGCAGTGACATTTGGTCAGGAAGTCGAAATTTCACACAAAATCCAGTGTTTCGACATGGTAGATGTGAACAAAAACAGTCGCAGTACAGAAATTTCTACACCTACTCCCACGAACCTTTCCATCCTCTCAAGCGGGAGCCGAAGTGGCAGACTGCAGACGAGGCAGTGGCAATTGTCAAGTCAGGTCTGTAGAACATTTTTGTCATATCGAGAAAAATATAAACTTTGATTTTATTATGAAGTCAGATCACTAAGAACTTTTTGTCATAGCAAGAAAAAGTATTACTATAAATATATATTGATTATTATTTAAAAGAGCGCGATTGTACAAAAGTATTTAGAATTTTCTCAAGGGAAGCGATGAATTTGTTGTTCATCATTGAAGCGACGTAGTGAATGTAATTTTCTTCACTCAGGGGACGTTGTGTTCATCCACGGGGCTGCAGCGACACCTCTATTGCTGGTGGATGCTCTCACCCGCCACGGTATTGCCAACAAGCTAGCGGATGTCACTGTGTGTCACATCCACCAGCTGCCACAGAATTTTTCTCGAAACGAAGAGAAAATTCGATTGCAATTAACCGCAGTGACATTTGGTCAGGAAGTCGAAATTTCACACAAAATCCAGTGTTTCGACATGGTAGATGTGAACAAAAACAGTCGCAGTACAGAAATTTCTACACCTACTCCCACGAACCTTTCCACCCTCTCAAGCGGGAGCCGAAGTGGCAGACTGCAGACGAGGCAGTGGCAATTGTCAAGTCAGGTCTGTAGAACATTTTTGTCATATCGAGAAAAATATAAACTTTGATTTTATTATGAAGTCAGATCACTAAGAAATTTTTGTCATAGCAAGAAAAAGTATTACTATAAATATATATTGATTATTATTTAAAAGAGCGCGATTGTACAAAAGTATTTAGAATTTTCTCAAGGGAAGCGATGAATTTGTTGTTCATCATTGAAGCGACGTAGTGAATGTAATTTCTTCACTCAGGTGACGTAGTGAATGTAATTTCTTCACTCAGGTGACGTAGTGAATGTAATTTTCTTCACTCAGGGGACGTTGTGTTCATCCACGGGGCTGCAGCGACACCCCTATTGCTGGTGGATGCTCTCACCCGCCACGGCATCACCAACAAGCTAGCGGATGTCACTGTGTGTCACATCCACACAGAGGGCGAGGCTCCATACACCAAGCCTGAGTGTGACGGTGAGAACACACAGCGTCCCATTGCATTGTATACAGGAAGTCAAACACATTGTATAAGGTCGAAGGAGCAAGTCTGGGGTGCGAGACATGCAACTAGTTGCGAAAATTCGGGACCTGTGGTTAAGAATCGGCTATAGGTCACCATAGCCTTATGAAAACTGACATCGCTATATTATTATATGATATTGTTGATAAATAAAAATATAAGTTAATGTAAATCTTTGTCCAAAATCTATCTCAATAATTATTTAGTAATACCATCTTTTTCTGTCGATCGGGAATGATTAACAATTAAGAATGATAATAAAATAATAAATGAATAACATTTTGCTTGACAAAATTTTCATCCGACAAAATTTAATTCGAAATTTATTTTTCAACTTACGCGACAAAATATTCTGCAGCTATATATCTTCTATTTAACAATTTCATCACCAGGAATATTCCGGAGCAGCTCGTTCTTCATCGGCGCCAACTGCCGTAAGGCCATCAACGCAGGACGCGCGGACTACACTCCTATATTCCTGTCCGACATCCCGCTGCTCTTCCACCGCAAGATCATCAACATCGACGTCGCTCTCGTACAGGTACGTATATAATTAAGGTATTTAATTTTAATGTATGTTTCTAAGTAAACTACTGATATCAATATTGATGTATAACTGTTGCATAATTAGCTAGAACAAATTAATGTGGTCATTCAGTCAGGGTGATGTGAGAGATATTTGTGCGTGCCTAGAAGTAGAATAACGAAATTTTAGATTCGGTTTTTATAATTAATAAGGTTTAGCAAAGTATTCTAAAGACACAGACCCAAAAATCATTGGCAGGTCGCAAAATTGTAAGAAATGTAGTGAATATAATTACAATAACTTAATCGTAAGTTTGTACCCAAAGGTGTCACCGCCTGACAAACATGGCTTTTGTTCCCTGGGTACAAGCGTGGATTGTGCCCGAGCTGCCATCCAGAATGCTAAGTACATCATTGGCCAGGTCTGCTCGGTTTTATTGAAGATTTGAAAAATATGATAAATATTGCATTGTGTAGAACCTCGCTTTAATATTTACGGCATCTGAACCACTATTTATACAATTATTTATGAGGTATATAACAAAAACGGCTGCATGATATTACCTGATTACAGATAAATACAATTACGATTAATTATTAATTGCTATTTAATAAAAAATATGGACGATTATAGTTGATTATAAGTGAACCCTATCATTTAAAGAGTATTGTAAAAAGTTGTAAAGATTAATGACTGATTACAGATGAACCCATAGATATTTAAAGGCTATTTAACAAAAACTTTATTGAATAATACCCGATTTTAGATGAACCTAATTTTTAAAAAGGTATAAATTAAAAGTATCTGAAAAATAACACCGGATTACAGGTCAACCCATGCATGCCACGCACGTTTGGCGATGGCGTGGTCCATAAAAGTCACTTCGACTGCATGGTGGATGGTCTGGCCAGCCTGCCTGAACATAAACCCAAACAGCGCTCAGACGTGGAGAACACCATCGGCAAACTAATTGCAGACAACCTGGTGGTGGACGGTGCAACCCTGCAGACCGGTGAGGAATAGGGTAACACTATCGGCAAACTAATTGCAGACAACGTGGTGGTGGACAATGCAACCCTGCAGACCGGTGAGGTGTAGGGTAACACTATAGGCATACTAATTGCAGACAACCTGGTGGTGGACGGTGCAACCCTGCAGACTGGTGAGGTGTAGGGTAACACCATCGGCAAACTCATTGCAGACAACCTGGTTGTGGATGGTGCAATCCTGCAGACTGGTGAGGTGTAGGGTAACACTATCGGCAAACTAATTACAGACAACCTGTGGTGGACAATGCAACCCTGCAGACCGGTGAGGTGTAGGGTAACACCATCGGGAAACTCATTGCAGACAACCAGTTGGCTTACGGTGCAACCCTGCAGACCGGTGAGGCTGGTTAATCCTGCTAGACTAGCTTTCCTATATTTTATATAAGCTCACATTCTAGTGTACTCAGTCTTCCTAGAGCCTATTGATCTCTGAGAGTCTAAGTGACTTAGGGTGCACATGCTTTCTAATCATAAGTACCGTATTATCTTTAATTTATAAATGAATTCACTAATTCATGCATTATTTTTTCAGTACATTATACTTATTCTATGACGAAACTATATGCCTTTCAGGTGCCTGTGGATGCGTCGAACAATAATTTAATGTTTAATCAATCATTTGTATTTACACTATACAATATTTAATAAAAAATTAGTACCAATGCAAAAATTTCCAATTAAATGCCCAGGAATCGGCAACATACCTGACGCAGTTCTGGCTTCGCTGATGAACCACAAGGACCTCGGGATCCACTCTGAGATGTTCAGCGATGGTGTGGTGGATTTGGTGGAGGCGGGATGTGTCACTAACACATACAAGGTTACGCACCCCGGCAAGATAACGGGAAGCTTTCTTGTCGGGACAAGAAAACTATTTGACTTCGTTGACAATAATCCGTTTGTGGGTTAGTTGCACTTAGAAATACGGATAAATCAAGACTGTGCTTACTATAATAATAAGTTTACGTGAAAATATTGACTTTTCAAATAAATTTTCTCCATAATTATAATTGTGCTCGCTATTTCAATAATTGTATCGCAAAATAATGGTTATGTCTGTTTTGACAAAAAGGTTCACTCTATAATTGTTAAAACTCATTTTAAAAATAAGTTTACGAAGGCCTCAAGCAGCACAGGCTGCTTTGATGTGCGTGATGGTGACTATTTGATGATATTCAATGTACAATTACGTTTAACTATTGTTTAATAACTTTAAATAAGATTTAAAAACTTTAATTTAATTAAAAACCAATTAAAGAAAATTTATTCAAATTTATATTTTTAGAATAATATTTATATGATAATATAATAACATTCAAATTTAATAGCAATTAAATAATATTTAGTCATTTTAAAATAACTTTTAATAAGGAATTACATATGAATTAAATATTCATAATCGCTCCCGCATCCCCTCCAGTGATGTGCGACGTGTCGTTCGTGAACAGCGTGCCCGTCATCGCCCAGAACCCTAAGGTGACCGCCATCAACTCCTGCATCGAGATAGACCTCACCGGGCAGGTCGTGTCGGACTCCATCGGCACCAAACTATACTCAGGTCAGCCTGCCTACATCGGCACCAAGCTGTACTCAGGTCAGCCTGCCTACATCGGCACCAAGCTCTACTCAGGTCAGCCTACCAACATCGGCACTCAGGTCAGCCTGCCTACATCGGCACCAAGCTGTACTCAGGTCAGCCTGCCTACATCGGCACCANAATTCAATGATCAAGGAATATCTCAAACTAATGAACTTAACTCGATTAAACTTGGTACACGTATTCATTAGGACCTAACAATAATGTTTTGCTCGTGAAAATAGTTTGAATTTTACCATCGTTTGTTTTTGCCATAGTTATATGGCAATACGGGTCGAAATTCACAGTGATCGAGTAATTTCTTCCAAACTACTGAACAGATTCGAACAAAATTTTGAATTTGCAGTCCTAACTACCGAACGGCCATGTTTAGCTCGTGAAAATTTCTTCGATTGTGCCTTCGTTCGCGAGTTTTTTTTTTCATTTCACCTTCATTCGTGATTTAAACAGCAATACGTGCTTAAATTAGCAATATTCAAGAAATTTTTTCCAAACTACTCAACAGATTTGAACGAAACTTAGTATTTGAATACCTAACCTCAGCAACGGTGATGTACACAATTTTTTCGTTTTGCCTTCGTTTGCGAGTTATACGGCTATACGTACGTATACGTAAGAGCCGTTTACGTAGACGTATAAGGCTCATGGTTAAACCGGCCGGTAGAAAAGCCAGTCGTTCCTCCTATATCTGTATAACTCGCGAACGAAAGCAAAATAGAAAAATTGTCACGAGCTAAACATCACCGTTGAGCGGTTAGGTATTTATATACAAAGTTTCGTTGAAATCTGTTCTGTAGTTTAGAAGAAATTTCTTGATCGCCGCGAATTTAAGTGACAAATTACCCGGCGATGCGGGCCGAATATAAGGATGTGAAGAAAATGTGTGCTATTTACGATGAAAGTGGGGTCAGTGCATGTTGTAAATGTGGTCTAGTTATGTTGAAAATGAGGTCTATTTATGTTGAAAATGTGTCCTATTCATGATAAAATGGGGTCTGTGCATGTTGAAAATGTGGTCTATTTATGATGAAAATATGGTCTATTTATGATGAAAATGGGGTCTATTTATGATAAAAATATGGTATATTTTGTGATGAAAATGGGGTCTATTTATTTGAAAATGTTATCTTTTTATGTTGAGAATGCGGTCTATTTATGATGAAAATGTGACATATTTGTGTTGAAAATTAGGTCCATTTATGTTGAAAATTTGTTCTATTTATTACAAAAATGTTTTCAATTAATATTAAAAATATGGTGCAGGTGTGGGTGGGCAGGTGGACTTCATCCGGGGGGCGGCGGTGGGGAGGGACGGGCTGGGGAAGCCCATCCTGGCCATGCCCTCCACCACCTCAAGAGGGGAGTCCAAAATTGTCCCTTTCGTCAAGCAAGGTAATCTCCGTTAAAAAAATCAGAAATATACACTCAATTTATATTGATCTATACCTAAAATGGTAATTTTAAATTACAATTTTCAATTTCAGGTAGTCTCCGTTAAAAAAACTGAGAAATATACATTTAATTTATATTGATCTATACCTATAATAGTAATTTTAAATTACAATTCTCAATTTCAGGTAGTCTCCGTTAAAAAAACTGAGAAATATACACTTAATTTATATTGATCTATACCTAAAATAGTAATTTTAAATTATAATTTTTGATTTAAGGTAGTCTGCGTTAAAAAAATCTGAGAAATATACATTTAATTTATATTGATCTATACCTAAAATAGTAATTTTAAATTACAATTTTCAATTTAAGGTAGTCTCCGTTAAAAAAAAACGGAGAAAATATACATTTAATTGATTGATTTAATTTAATTGATTGATTTAATTGATCTATACCTAAAAATAGTAATTTTAAATTATAATTTTCAATTTAAGGCAATCTCCGTTAAAAAAACTGAGAAAATATACATTTAATTTATAATAACCGACAACTGAAATAGTAATTTTAAATTAGAATTTCTTTTCATTTCAATTTTTGACGACAATTTTTAATTTCAGTTTTTTCACAACAATGTTTTAATTTTAATTCTAAATTACAATGTTTAATTACGATTCTTATTACATACTTTCAATTACAATAATTGTCAAGAGCGATTTTTCATGAAATTTTTACTTTAAATTTTAAATAATGTTCCATGACTCTTTAAAATTTAGTTTAAAATAAGTCCCCTCACACGCATCCAGGTGGCGGTGTGGTGACATCACGCGCACACGTTCATTACGTCATCACTGAGTACGGCATCGCTTACCTCTTCGGAAAAAATCTACGGCAGCGCGCGTACGAACTCATCGCTATCGCCCACCCTGACCATCGGGAGGCGCTAGAGCGCGCTGCCTACGAGCGACTGAGCTGCATGCCTTCACCCTGAGGAATTTAGTTGAAAAATAATCGTACTTATGCGATAAACTTGCGATGAATAATTGTATTTATCGGATAAACTTGCGATGTATAACTGTATTTATCGGATAATCCTGCGATAAAGAATCCTAATTCTTATCGATTGAACTTGCGGTAAATAACTGAATATATCGGTTAAACTTGCGATAAATAATTGTATTTATTGGAAAACTTGCGATAAATAATTGTATTTATCGGTTAAACTTGCGTTCAATAATGGCAATTGTCGGATAAACAACCGATTAATGACGATTGCGTGATGCAGTAATAGCGTTGGTGATCAGGTACATGCGATAGTGATCCTGCAATGGTGATAGTGAGCCATGAAAATAGCGATAAAAGGTCATATTTATATATCTTTTTCATGGGAAAAGATGGACATTCACAACCATCATGCAATTTTTTTTATTTGTCGGGTGAATCGTTCAGTTAAATAATAACAGAGACGCGCATTTAAATGTTAATTTATGATAAGATAACGAAACTAATTGAATTTCTGTCATTCATTCAATTGTGGATTATAGATGAGTCTTTAATTGGCGAGCTTCTACAACCCTTTAACACTTTATACACAAGAATTCTTCTAATGAAACTTTTCGTGATCGCGGAAAATTTCATCGGAATCTATCTATGATATCCAATCTATCCAATGATATAATTCCATACTAATCCGTTTCTATAAATATATTGTATTTTTATTCACATATTTACTTAAATATTGGTATGGTTGAACAAATCATGTTCCTATCCCTTAATAGTTTTTTTCATTAAAAAAGCGAACAAGAAGATCATCAATGAAAAGCATTCTCTGATCTTTAATTAAACAAACACATTCATATCGCATACAATTCTCATCTCCAATTATAAATAACTCGAAATCGGTCCACTGCCGTGCTGTGAGGAGTTATAACGTTATAAGACTTATAGCAAACTTAGCATATTGTAGTTGTTTGTATTCCCTATCACATTTCTCTCGTTCATTTTCAAACTCGTAGAATAGAGTTTGAGCGTCATTGTCTTGTCTATTTTCTGATTCAGTGTATTATAGTAGTAAATTTTAGAGCAAATTTTCGTCTTCTATATGGAGAGTGGCAAGAATCTTGTAGCTTCATGAACTTGATTAATTACCTTGATTTATTTATTAAGCGAAGTGAACTTTTCTGAGGTCAAACAGTCCGAGCGCTGTCATGACCCCCCGCTAAAATGTGATGAAGAAGACGGTGATTTTAATTATAAATTTATTGTCAGTCAGCAATAAACCAACCACAACTCGTCGCAACAATTGGACGATGAAGGCGATGGTTGGAGTGATTACTCCCATGTCATTGATTAATCAGCCAATCACAAAATACTGATAATAATATGACGATGAAGGCCATCATTGGAGTTATAACTTCAACGCCAATCATCAATTAGTCAAGAACATCTACCTAAATCAGGAATTGATAGCTAAATGATATCTCGCTTATTGTAATTTTGAAACGGAAGTTCATTTAAAGATCCTTAAAAGAGTTTGCTTGAAACATTTAATTATTAAGACCAAGTGTGCGTCAAAATGCAACATTGCCAAAAATTAATCTGCCATGACACAATCTTTTTAAAGAGGCAGCCTTTAATCATATTGTGAAATGTTAAAATGTCCTCCATAATATTACAAGTTAATTATTTTTCATATGGCCCTTCTTGTCTTGTTGTTTTATTTATTGAAAGCTTTGTATTGTAGACGTAGGTTTTGTGTAAAGCTTTTGCTAGCCTAAACGCACCTGTAATTTGCACAGTTTACGTGTCACGCACCGTTTACATGCCACGCACCGTTTACATGCCACTCACCGTTTACATGCCACTCACCGTTTACGTGCCACGCACCGTTTACATGCCACTCACCGTTTACGTGCCACGCACCGTTTACATGCCACTCACCGTTTACGTGCCACGCACCGTTTACTTGCCACGCACCGTTTACGTGTCACGCACCGTTTACGTGCCACGCACCGTTCATGCATCATTGTTGTTTCATTTGTTACACTATAAATGCATTCGGCTAACTGCAATATAAAACTCTATGGATTATTTGCCATTCCTTGTATTTTTGTTGTTTTATCTTGATATTACTGAGACCAATTGTGATACTTTGACATGATTACTGAATTTTAGTAAGGGAACCTTAATGAGAATTTTCAATTACGGAACGGCAAGAATGATGGAATATTGAGATAGTGAATTAATGAAAAAAATTACGTCATGAATTCATCATCATATGCATCATCACACTCAAGGAAATGAGTGAGATATTGTCCAAATTTTGATACACTCTTTTACCTCTTGTGGGTCATCTTGACCTAGTTTGGCTAGGTAAAAAAACGTTTTTAGGGAAATAAACGTGCTGAGGGAAATAAAAAACGTGCTGATGGAAATAAATTGTCACTATTTGGACAATATGACTTACATATTTTTTTGAGGGCCCTCGACATTAGTATGGTCGAGGGCCCCTGATCCTGAACTCTTTTTTATAATCTTTGATGACAGTTCAATAAATCAGTTATTATTAATGCACCGCAAAAATCGTGGTTTTCTTGTCCATTAAACATTTAAGAAATGCGAAGAATTTTCCACGAATAACGGACCATAAAAATTTTGGTTCCTCATAAAAGTTACTTATTTCTACGTAAAATGCCTATGTATAGATGAAATAGATTAATTGATTAAATTTATTGATGATAGTAATAGCAACAAAATCAATATTTATTTCTAATTTTATATTTATAGCTCAAAATCTTTCGGTGCACAAACTTAGAAAGTATTAAAATGAAGTTTCTGTTAAGTATTCCTTCCATATTTGGATTTTTACGGCCAACTAAACATATGAGAATCATTTTCCCTTTTAATGTTTAACAACAAACTTAGGGCTATCAATGAAAACAAATATGTTTGTTCTTGGAGAGTGAGTGGCAAGAGGCAGGTAAAGTGACCGAATATTTATGATTTATCGACGATCTTCAGGAATGAAAAGTTAAATTGAGGTGGCTGATAAAAAAATCAGATTAATAATAATTTCTGTGACTGATAAGTACACTGTACTGCTGTTACAACTTGCACCGAGTACACTGTACTGCTGTTACAACTTGCACCGAGTACACTGTACTGCTGTTACAACTTGCACCAAGTACACTGTACGTGTACAGACGTCACAACTTGCTGCATTGCTTTTTGACGGATTATTTGCGATGCTACCGAAGTCATTTTAATTGAGTGAGTGTAACTAGAAATTATCGTTCAATTTTTCAATGTAATTCTCACTGAGGTAAATGAAATTAAGTTAATACTATATACTTATATATCAGAGAGCACATGTTTCACTACCGAAGAAAAATTACTCTTCGTCTTCACTGAAAAGACGCTTAAAATTCAAACATTGACCTTGAGCAATGAAGTTACTTGAAGAGACAAAAAATCAAATGGCTATAAATAATAAAATGCTGAATAATAGACAGTTTTGCATTAAAATCCACGATTATTGTAGTTTATTCAGGCAAGTACTATTAGCTTGATTGTTTAAGAAATTTCGCGTGCTAGAAATAATGCATACCATATAATTTTATAAGCAAATCGTACATAGTGCTTTTGAACGAAGATCATCTGCACAAAAATAATTATACCCACTATCATAATTTGATTATAAATAGTATTTCCAGAACCGGTATGCACTAGAGGAAAATAGCTCCATTAGTTGCATGATAGATTTTCTCCGCGATTTTTTTTAGACCTTTTTTTCTGAATTTACAATTACGCTGCTGACGTAAACGATTCAAGTGGTTCCACTCACAGAAAAGAGTAACACGTTGTCCAAATATCAATGCATCTTAGTCCTGATTGGTGAGCTCTTGACCGAATTTTAGTGACAAAGTTGAGGACGTTTCAGAACTGCGTGCAAGAAACTTATCGCCCTTGTGACAATATTCATTTTGCTTCATTTTTCTAAGCGTTCCGTCGTACTGCGTGTCACTCATTGCCCTTAAATGGACAATGAAAAGTCATCGATTTTTGAATTCGTAGCGACATTCATGTCGTGCGAAACCGCACTCGCTTTCCTCAACATATTTGGAACTTCTTCCACATCTTCATCAGTTTCTAATCCACATTTCATTGATCCTTCTTCGTCAGAACTCATGGGAATCGTAAAAATCTTGATCGTTTCTTTATCGGAGTTGGCCACAACTTGAAGAAAAAGAAACACGACAAAATAACATCAGTCGAAATAATAATAATTGAAAAATTTTATGATCCCCTAAACAAAAATAATTAAGCTTTAGCAAAATGCAAGTAAACGCACTACAAAATATGAGAGTGGAATTTTGTGGATAAAATTATTCTCTGACATTTTTACTATGAGAATTTATAATTGAGTTACCGTCAGTTTATTCAAATTAATCAATATAATTCAGTTGGGGTATTTTAATTAAATAATATAATTCAGTTAGCGTATTTGCTTCGTGGCCATCAAATAATGTTGCAGTGAAAGGTATTCACCTACTGCCCAGCATAACAGCCTTTACAGGAAGTAAGATAAACAGCACTATTAGACATTGTGTTCATACTACTAATTTAAAATTCGTTACATCACATGAGTCACCATCCACTAAAGGTCTCTGCAACATAAATTATTCATTTAACTAATTCGTCGTCTGCGGGCGGCACTAAAATGTGTTCGAGGTGTAAGTTCAAACTGGAAATTATTGATAAAAATAGTCTGATGACTGGCTTTTATCTTGTCACCAATCCAAGTGGTTAGGGCGAAAAGCGAAATGAAAATCTTGTCCCGTGGTTGAAAACCACTGGTTTCTTTTTATTTTAGCATTGTTCCTCATGTTCCAATAATAATATTTCCAAAGTAAGCCTTAGATCACCCGAAGTTATTCTTCTAATGAATTTGTAATTGGTAATTGGTTAATTAACCTTAATAAATATTTAAATCACCTGCAGGTTGCGATCAACAAGGAAGTTCATCTCGAAGTCATCGTCGTCGTCGCCGAATGGATTGATAAGCGACTCAGCTACTTTCAACCATCCCATGTAGAAGCAGAATTGCAGCGTTGTAAAGACGGGGAAGTAGTAGTCGATAGGGAATTTCTCGTAGCCTTTGCTTGGATCCAAAAATTGTCGGCCCATCAAATTCATGATGAAAAAAGGCGTACACCGCCCACGTCACTACCTGCGATACAACTCATCTGAACAGGTTAGTGATGAATAACGCGTTTACCACCCATGTCACCATCTACGAGAAAATCCATTTGAAAGCTTCGTAATTGGTCCAACAGGATGCATGTTGCGAGTAAACTTTACCCTCTACCACCGTATGTCACTCTCCAGGAACATAACTTTCGACTTAAATTATATGTAAACTATTGAGTATAGCAACCTGAGGACGTTTGTACGCAACAGAAAACATTTTAAAGTTATCGTACGTGGCGGCAAGTCATTTTGCGCTTACTAAGAACGTATCCTTTTTGGGAAGTAGGCTTGTGACAATATTGCTCCGGTTACTCATGTCAGGCGGTAGAGGGTTAACAATGAAAAAAATGACACAAATATCATCATTTAAAATTGTAAATGCATTTTAGAAAATGTTTAAAATTTTGCTATGTCATGCGTTATTAAAGTGGGAATGTAACCATTATTATTCGCCAGACCTGAGTGTAGACCAGTGGTATGTTGATGGCATCGTAGCCAAGCAGGGATCCACAGCGGCTCCTAAGTCTGGTTATCTCGTCAATGATTGTCTTCATGGCGATGTCATCTTTGATTCTGTTCTCCTTCCTCGCTCTGCACACCAAAGCTCCTGCCCAGGCCATGGGCATCCAGTAGAGAGTGTGGGGAGTGCGCTCTGACATGCGCGAGTAGATCTGCCGCTCGTTTCCTGTTATGAAACCTGCGACCGAAACGATATTTTTGAAATCGGTTATCAATGAAGTGTGCACAAACAACCGAATCCAATTCCTGTTGCTAATGACTCATGAATGACGATCGTATATATCCTTCTTCCTCTATGTAAGATTTCTAATAGGATATTAAATAATACCTAATCAAAATCTTATATTATAAGTCTTGTCCTTAGGGCCAGTTTCCATCCAAAATACTTGCGAATTGGCATCTCCGTCATCCAATCACGGACGGTTTTTCAAATTAAACCCTTGAATCACGGACGGAAAATTGGCCGCTACGTGTACTTAAACCGCTACGTGTAAGTAGGCCGCTACGTGTACATAGGCCGTTACGTGTGCTTGAGCTAGTTTTGATGTAACGGCCTCGGGATTTATCAATTTACGCTGAAGCAGTTAGGCTACACCGTTTCGACTTCGTTTTTGTCCAAAATGAAAATTTTGTTTCATCAAGTCGTACCTGCATCTTCGAAGTGCGCAAGAGTAGGAAATCGTCTCTTGACTATAGGCGAGATCATGGAGAAGGTAAAGGACATGGAGAAGTTGATGTAGCGCAGGATTGTCCTCCTCATCATCCTTCCCCTCCTGTCCTGCCTCAAGATGAGGTCAAATTCATACCATTATCTCTGTGTTATCAATAATATTGTAAAAGCGATAAACGGTTTGACAAATGGGATGGGAAATGTGTAGGGGTTGTTCCCAACGAGTGTGTCGGATGGAAGTTCTATGAAATAATTTTTTAATAGATGCGTGTTTCCAGCACCCTATTTAAAAACAAAATTTCCATGAATATATTTCGATCATGCTACGTTTTCAAAACCCCGTACATTTCCTGCAAGTGATGTAGAGACGAAAAGAGCCAGCGTATCTGGCCAGGGTATCGCACGAAACTGATCCCACCACCGCCCCACCACGAGGGATACGAAGAATCCGAGCACGAACGATAGCGGGATGTTCTCCGCATGTCTTGAACACGTCAGGGACACTTGCTCGAACAAACTGAATAATAATGAACATTAGAAGCACAATGTACAATGTGAGAGAAAGTGTGAATTATGAAAAGAATAACACAACATATATATCAGACCGTCAAAGAATAAAGACACAAAATTACTCACTGTTTGCCGTAATCATTCAAAGCAAACCGATAGACAAAAGAGAGTGCAAAGTAGAATGTGAGGTAGACCAACAGGTCCATCCAGATGAGTTTATAGACGCTGCCTCGCCATCTGAACAACAATATAGTTAGCCTCATAATCATGAGTATTGAAATAGAACATTGAAATAGAACAAACATATTTCCATTGTACTATTGTTTACTTTAAAAATATAATTATATATAGTTATGAATATAATATGAAATATTATATGAATATAATATTATCTATAATTATATATATGTATATTAAATATATATAATTATATACAAACCTGAGAAGCAATTTCAGAAAGCAACCTAAGCCTTTGTTGCTGACGACGTCCTTAGTGTATGACACTGTCATTTTATATTAATTTTATAGGAGTCGGAGATCAGCTGTCGCAGCACATGCCGTGTGAAAGTGAACTTCCACTCGTATTTGAAAATCTTCCTAATTCCCGTTTACTAAAAAAAGTTTATTAAATTATTAAGTTACTCACAGTACACATGCAAGCGGCGAAAAAAATTAACTTACTTAACAACAACAAAAAAAACTAACTTAACTAACTTAACTACATGCAAGCGGCAAAAAAATTAGCAGACTTAACTATTTCACAGGGAAACTCTCTGCATTAGTGAGAAATAACCTCTCTATTGTTTTTCATGATATAGAAAATGCCCATGAATAAAACAATAAAATATAGCTAAACTACGGGAGTTGCCAGCATTATTTAAATTTTTAAAAGAGAATTTAATTTGGGAAGTTCACACAACGAAGAATTCTATAATTACTAGAACCTTTATATAGTCAACACCCATATTGCAATGCATATTTACTGTTGCGATATATGAATATTAAGGTGGAACATTATAATGGCAAAGTGCTGGTCGTTGTATTATAGATTCGATCGAGTCGTAATCGTTATCTGTTTATTAATTTCATTTTTCTCTTAATTAATTTACCAAACAAATTTTTTTGTGTAACAAAAAATTAGGATGATTGCAGGCAACGAGGGAAGCCTGCATAAAAAACCGTTAGGAGACAATTTGAGAAATTTTGCAAATTTTAATACGTATAAACTTATAAACTATATAAACTTATTTCTTTGAAATAAATTTATATAAATGGAGGAACCTATTAATTTATTATTGAATTTATTTACCTAGTCACTCCTGACTTCAAATGAATTTAAAAAGCACAAAAATATTCTTGAGTGCTAATATTTCAACCGAGACGCACCAGCATAATGGAGGACCCGAAGTGTGACTATCCAATTTTTGTGTCTTTTATTATAACTTTTCCAATGCTTAATTGTGCTACAAATTGAAGATATTTTACATTGAAATGATGAAATGTGCAAGAGAAATTTTACAATTTAGTGAAAATTTAGTGACGATGCATGAAATGTCCTCAACCCATTATCCTATACAAAAATGAGTGTGTGATGAATTATGCCTACAATAAAGATTAATACTTATATCGTAAAACATATTCGACTAAATCAAAGGAAATAGCTTCCAAAGAGGAACATTAACAACCATTACTAAAAGGGAAAAAACTCGCAGTATACGACATATAATTATAAAAATATATGACCAGTTTAAAAATCGACTCTTTTCGATGAGCTAATACCCTTTCGGTACCCTCTCGGTCATCTGACGTTGAAACAACGTTGATTGCGATTTAATTTCGTTGAAACAACGCTGACTGCGAGTTGAATTAGTTGAAACAACGTTGATTACGAGTTAATTTTGTTGAAACAACGTTGACTGCAAGTTGATTTAGTTGAAACAACGTTGATTACGAGTTGATTTCGTTCAAACAACGTAGACTAGACGTTGTTTCAGAGTCAGATGCCTGATGAGTTACGAAGGACGCGGTCGGAGCGTCTTTTAAAACCAATTTCTCTCACCAACACCACGTACTCAACTGGGATTGCTCTTCTCCTGGGACCGAGTTCACTACTCAGAGGTCAATTAACTGTCATATATCATAATAATACATAGAAATAAAATAAGAAGAAACGTGAAAGTGAAAAAGTGTGAAAAAAGAAGAAGTGTGAAATACAAAACGTGTAGAACATGAACAGCGAAGACCAAAATGGGCAGGTAAAAAATTAATATTTATGGAATGTGCAGATCGAATTGTTGGGTATGTACATCGTGTCTTTGTGGTCGAATATAAAAATTAAATATATTTTTGACGGAAACACGCGAATACCTAGAATAATTTTCTAGGAAACGTACCAGTCATATAACTCATTTAATTAAAAGTGCTTGTTATGCACGTAATAAATACTTGCTATGCTCATATTAGGATATCGCAAACCCTGTGAGTTACAAGAAGTAAAAACATCGCTCAGTGGAAACCGAGTAGGAAGTAAAATGGAGAAAATCTTAGAGTTGGAATTTCCACTGAAATGCCTTGAACACGCAGCCGGTAGTGGTGGCCAGCACACCTGTGAAGACAGTATAAATAATGAATTTAATGCATGGACTCCAAGCAGGCCAGCCCAGACTCTTCGTAGCTCGATCTTTAGTTGACCACACATATATATCTTTACCAAGACTTTACTCAAGTGTACCAAGATCTGATAATCAATAAACAAGTACATTAGTCATGTTCTCAATCAATACAAGATGTCATTAATCATCAAGAACATCATGTCTTGAACAAACAACAGGCACAACAAACATTCACCTGTTGAATAAACGTTGAAACAACCTGCATTGACGACATTAAAATACTGGTATGAAATAAGCATAAAAGAATTTAATTGACTTATTACTCGAACGACATTCATCTGTTAAATAGTAATGTTGAAATCGCCTTGATATTGATTAAATTTTTAAATTAAAACCGATATCCTGAATGCAACTTTGAAGTCATGTTAATATAAGACTGTATTTTATTACACACGTATTAGCATTTCTTTCACATTGTATGGGTCGGTAAACTCTCCGCTGCGAGGAACATCTACCTTAGCCGGGAACAAGCTTCTGCCTTCCACTGGCCAGTACTAACAGCCACTAATTAGTGTGAAACTGGTCTCGTGCAGAGTGACACTGGCTGGTTCAGAGCCGCTATTAGAGGCCAATATTAATTGCTAGTACTAACTGCCACTATGTAATTATTGTGGTACCGAAAGCTAGGAGAAAACGAAGAAACTAAAAATGTGGCCAGTAGGCCGACCAAAAAGGCAGAGACTGCAGACAGCTATAATATGTCCACCGAGTACTAAATTCGATATTACTACATTTAAAACATTTTCAGTGCCAAAATAAATTTTATGGACCTGCCGCACTGTGGTTAGTATAAATTTCATCAAAGATGAAAAACGATCAAATTTTTATTTGCTTCTGAATGAGAATAGTGACGTATAGTTCAAATGAAATTAATAAATAATATTTATAAATGTCACTGAATATTTTGATGGACTTCAAACACTTCTGAACATAAATCATTTCAAGTTAAGTTTTATATTACGATCCAAAATAAGTAAAACTAAGTCTGTAATCATCAATTTACGTATCAATTAACGATTAAGACTTCAAATTAGTGGTGTAATCCGATGATGATTGAATGCTAAACTATACATTAATGAATCTTCAAATTAGGGTTGAAATATAGCTTGTCCGACTAGGTGTTTAGTCAGACATTTGCCAGACTCGGACGATAAAAATAATGGCAGCTAATAATGACCTCGTGTAAAAGCTTACTGGCCTCTAAACTAGTGGCTGGCAGTGCTTGCTAAATAAATTGAAATGATACCTAATGGGGCAACGGGCCATGCATGCGTGTCACGGGGCAAAGCGCCAATGGTGAAGTCTTGTGTTATACAATGTATCTATCTACATTATACCTTCGAAGTAAAACAACACCACATGCACTGCCATAATATGCGCCGAATGCGGAGTCGTTTTTTGTCAAACTGGCCGCTGCTTGACGCCGAAGGCGGACTTGCCATAACTTAAATAAGGCAAATCGTATTTATACATGTCATCGATGTCAAAAGTCGCCCTCTGCGATTGAAGATCGGAGTTGAGACGTCTATCGACAATTGTTGGAGAGGATATGTACATCACCGTGGTACGCACTCCAGGCCGACGAGTCTACAGTTATCGACAACAAGGCAATACTACTTGTTTATGTGCGATATATATATCAGGAGGATGTGCATGAGGATGTGTTATTCGCACTCTCTTTGTCAACCAACACCACAGGAGCAGAACTGTTCAAATCACTGGATGGTTATATAGCGGAAAAACTAAAATGTTCTTTTTGTATCGGCATATGTACAGACGGAGCTGCTGCTATATGTCCGGACGATTTTCTGGTTTAACTGTTCGGATTAAGGAGGTTGCACCTGAGAGTGAATCTACGCATTGTATCATTCACAGGAAAATGTTTGCAAGCGAAAAATGTCATCGGAATTCAATAGCGTATTGAATGATGTCGTTAAAGTTATTAACCACATCAAAGCACACGCCCTTAACTCGCGCCTGTTTGAGCAGCTTTGTGAGGAGATGGACGCAGATCACAAATGTCTTCTCTTATACACTGAAATAAGATGGTTATCCGGAGGGAAATCGCCAACCCGAGTATTTGAATTAAGAGAGCCATTGCTACAATTTCTCTCAGAAAAGAAGTCACCGCTGGCAGCCCATTTCAGTGACAAGGTATGGGTCGCAAAACTGGCTTACCTGTGTGACATATTCAGCCTGCTCAATGAGCTAAATCTGTCCCTTCAGGGTAAAATGACAACTATTTTCATGTTGGCAGACAAATTAGCCGCATTTAAAGCCAGACTGGAATTGTGGGAACGGCGCGTGAACAGGGGCATTTTGGACATATTCCAGATATTGGCGGGAATTTTAGGCAAGACTGAGCCAGATCAATCATTCTCCCAGTTGGTGCAAGATCACCCTCTTTACTTTTGAAATAGTTTGAGCGCTACTTCCCAACAAAAAATGACCTACGGACTGGTAAGGAATGGATCCTTAACCCATTTTGCAATAAACCTCCCGAATCTAGCATGCCTGTGAAAGAAGAAGACCAATGGCTGGATACTGCAAATTACGGCAGCCTTAAAACTATGTTCTAGACTACAACTCAGCCGGTGTTCTGGATCAAAGAGTTATGGCGGAGTACCCTGAGATTGCAACCACAGCAATAAAATCCTTATTGCCATTTCCTTCATCCTATCTCTGTTTAGCGGGGATTTCTGCAGTGACAACAACCAAAACAAAACAACGAAACAAGCTTGACATCAGCAAGACACTTCGGGTGTCACTATTTCCTAAAGTGTTGTTTTATCATTTTTAAACGAAAAATATGCAATTGTGGTAAAGGGACCAAGGGTGGGCGCCTTGCCCCAGGCCCATGGGCCCATTGCTCCAGAGGTGGGGCAATGGGCCCATTCTGACACGTTTTACAAAATAGTGTTTCATTAAAAATTTAATAACTATATAGGCGTCTAATTCACATCATACATTCCTCATTAGTTGCACCTTTAAACAATACAAAGAACCACCTCGTATCAATTAAAACTTCATCAAAAATTTAGTTTAAAAAAAAGGGGGGAGCCCGCTGCTCCATGTTGCCCTATACGCAGCATCTGGAATTATTGAAGACCTTTGTTAGTGAGCATTTCCGCTTCACAGACTGTACAAAAGCTACAAAATAAAATATTTTTCTTTTCTAAGTTTACATTTTGTCGCGAGGTAGGTTAAGAAATTTGAGAATACGTTCCTTATTTTTCTACATTTTTTGGGCTGCTTATCTAGAATATAGCGGAAAGTCAGCCGCTTCTGTTCGGTTAATTGCCTCTGTCGTCATTTGATTTTTCATCCAACTTCAAAGTTGAGTGTTGAGATACGATACTAAATTATATTTTAATTACACTTTTTCCTACACGAAGAGTTCAAACCACGTTGCCAATTGTGGAAGAACACCTCAACCCGAAAAGAAAATTTGTGTCACTTCTACGAATGAAAATAATTAACCATAACCAGCATCAATGCTCGTGACTGCTTTTTTTCATGCATGCATGCGCTGTCCTAATTGAAAATAGCATATCTTACATTTTGGACAAGGAATAAAAGAATTAAGTAGTGTGTAAATGATTCTGAGTTCCTCTGCAATTGTATATTTTTAATTGCACGTCGAAAGTGCTTGAAACTTTGCTAAAATGTAAGAAACTCAGTACTGGTAAGCTACTCATAAACTGAATAGGTTATCTTAAATTAAATTATCTCCCCATTTTATTGCATCCTATTTCAAATTTTCATCTGGAGTTTCGTGTCTAATTTTTTATTCCAAGATCAACTCAAGTTAACCACTCAACTTTAGGCGATCGTTCATGTCATTTCCTCGCGTCATTAGCTTCTCGAAATTTCTTCAATTGTATTATTATTATTATTATTAAGTGTAATTTTTTTATTAGAAATATCTTCAATAATAAAATGAATGTCATATTTCGCCCTCAGGGTCACGAATGTCAGGGCCACGAAAGCACGTCCAGCATCATTTACTTTTCACTTACTTGTCCCGTATCAAAAATACACAAAATTTCTGTTCATCTGTCCAGCCGCTTATCATGGCACAAACCAATTCCTTAAACCAAACCAACAAACATTGATATAAACAAGGACAGGAAAATATTTTCCGTATCCTTACTTGATGACAATGCTGAGGAAATCGCTTCCTCGAAATTCACGACATTTGTATCCATGTCGCGTGGACATCTCAGGTCACTTGTCCAACTATGGAACAGTTGGGGAATCTCACCACTGCCGTGCTGTAAAGTTACTGTTATAAGAATTATAAGGAATTCAGAATATGATGATGTATGATTATTTATGATGATGTGTGATGATGTGCGATGATGTGTGATGATGTATGATGATGTATGATGACGTATGATGATGTATAATGATGTATGATGATATATGATAATGTATGATGATGTATGCGACTGTCAGAATATGATTATTTAAATGATGATCGGAGTGATGCCCTCAACATCAATGAGGATATATCACCTCAATAATAATACAATAAATTCACAGGCATGGCTCAGATGTGTAAATAGTTAATACCTGTAATGCATATGGAAATCTGCAATGGTAGCTAGAGCGAATCTATTATATTCCTGTCATTTCAGGCGCTATTTTATTTTGAGATTTGTATCAAAATAGTAGCATAGTTAACTTAACTATCGTTACACAACGTTTATTATATTATATTACTATTGGTTGAAAGAAAGTCATTTGTTAAGTTTCACATTAATTAAGGTCCTCATTAAACAAGATTTTAATTAATTAATCTCGAATAATGAATAAATTTGAATTTATTCATGCTAAAGTTTGGTTTCTCTCTTTTAATTGGTGTACAATTAGAAGATTTATTATTATTGACATGAAGTAATCTAATTGTAATCTATTAGAACATCATATCACGTGTGAATATCACGAAGTGTGCGTGGAGGAGCAACAATATAAAATATCACGAACATATCAGTGAAGCAAGTAATCAATATTTTCATCGTAATGCGTGGAATTGTTTGTGAATTATTTATTGTCATATTATCAAAGACATGTGCTGCGTTACACAAAGAATAGAAAAATATCTTCTCCTTAATATTAATAAAAAAGCGTTTAATTATTTATCCATTGCACGACGCATGGATGAGTAATTACAACATAAACTATTTTCTTTCAAGTGAGTCTACTCATAAAAATGAGTCGGTCGTATTGTCTAAATAGCGATACACTTCCTTTAACCGCATCATAGCATAAGCGAAGAGCGGACTCTCTTCCTGACCCTATTGCTGGCCAAATTGGGTCAGGTAGAACACAGAAGGCAGAAAATGTATCTTTATTTTGACAAAGTCTCACATATTTCTCTCAGTAATTAGCGTCAATCCTTTGCTGTTTTTCTCATTTTTATAAATGTCATTTGCTTATTAGTTTTGAAATACATGGAAGATATTTTAAAAATTGGTATCGTATATACTCGTGTTTATTAATCACACATAATTTTTGTATTTTTAGTATCACAAAAGTAATGAATAATGCATAATGAATAAAACTACAGACGCTTGTGACTCGACTGCAGGCGGTAGTGACTCGACTGCAGACGGTTGTGACTGGACTGCAGACGGTTGTGACTCGACTGCAGACGGTTGTGACTCGACTGCAGACGGTTGTGACTCGACTGCACACGGTTGTGACTCGACTGCAGACGGTTGTGACTCGACTGCACACGGTTGTGACTCGACTGCAGACGGTTGTGACTTGACTGCCGTCCAGGAAGGCTGTTACTTGTGACACAAGGACGGAGCCAGAATTTAAACGAAGATGACGCGTTATAAATTAAACATAAAATTAAACATAACACAACACATGTGCAACTCGGACAGTTCTGTCATGTGACGTCAATGGCCCAGATACGTGTAATGATTTTTAGTAATTATTCTAAAAAGTTTCGCGTGTTTTATCTTTTATGTTTTGAAGATAACGACTGATTTGTAATCAGTCTAGGATTTGCGAGAAGATAAATATTGACTTTATTCATTTAAACTATATTTTCGACTGAGGTATCCAATATAGGCCCGTTTTCAATATTATTGTTAATTGAATAATTGACTGTAAGCAAATCGAGATGAAAAGTTTGGCCTTCGTAATTAGAATGAAATGCGACAATTTTGGGGGGTAATTATTGGGGTAATGCTGCTACATCTGATGAATGCGATAAATAGTGGAGGTAAATGAAATAGTGAGTCCTATGTAATTATAAAAAATGTTTATTAAAAATAGGAACGTGAGTTAATAAAGCTCTAGATCAAACAACAATTGGAAGCATTTCCTAATTATAGTAACATAGATTGTTTGTTAATTTATTTCAACATTCTTAGCATCTGGTAATCATTCGATTTTATTTATATATATTTTTTTATTTATAGTTTCATGTTATATTATTATTTTGTTTTATTTTTAGATAGCATCATCTTTCATCAGTCGATTAGACTAATTTAAAATTTTTATATTCGATATAATAATCAATATATTCAGTTATATCACCTATCCTAACTAACAACTAACAGAATACATGTGAGAAGTATGGACGGATTACAGACGGCCTCCCATTTGTCTTCATAAGCAATATAAAAATATTATTAAATAAATTAATGTAACAGTTTTATGCAAAGTAAAGGCATCACCACGCTGGGACATCAGCACTGGTCGTTTCAATATTGCTCCTCTCCCTCGTATCCTTCGCATCCACCTTGATCCTTTCCCTCGTATCTTTCGCATCCACCTTGCTCCTACGCCTGCGTTTGGATGATTTTCTGCCTTTGCCCTTAAGTGGTAGATCGTCCTCTGGACTACCAACATCCACCAGCAGACGCGTGTGGTGGATGAAGCTGGTGTAGTTGACTAGTGAGTAGTGGAGGGAGTTTAGTCCATCCCGTCGGTGATAGGGACCAAGTTCCTTCAGTAACTCGTAACTAGTGGATAGAAATTAACATAAATTAATAAATTCATAATTCAATACATATTCGTTATCTCAGCGATGAGCTCAGAGCTAAAATGTGTCTGTATGACCCACGTAGGGACAAAAAATGTTTCGTGATTGTGACAATGTCTCTGTAATTTCTCTATGTGTGAGGCTCTCAGTGTATTTCTTGCTTTTTAGGGTATAAACTTAATTGATTCTTTGAAGGCTTAATTCACTTTTGATTACTTTGCTGGTATAGAGATGTAACTATGTATTTTATACAACATAATTTCGTATTTCATTTATGAAAAGCTGTTCATCTTTTCTATATATGAAAAACTCTTTTCAGGTTTCTTTTAACCCCATCACGTTGTGAATAAAAAGCATAATCTTATCATCAACCCATTTGATAAGAACGAAGGATTAGTCGACAACTGATATGAGATATTCGGAGTGATATTATTTTAAATTTTAGCACCTGGTCTTAGTGATAAAATACATAACTTAGGGACGGTGTTTATTTGACTATCATTTTCCTCAAAATTATTACTTCGTTGCACTCATGGACTGTAAAATGATACAAAATAAATTCTAAAAACACGGGAAAATTAATTGATTATTGAATCGTAAAAGTACCAAATTTGAAGAATATAGAAATCAGTCATTCATTATATACATAAAAAAGAAAATTATAAATTGAGATATAGGTAAATATAGTTTATTATAAATTCAGTTCTACCGAGAAATGAAATTATATTATAAATATAATTAATTATTATTTTTAAATATGAAATGTATATAGTAGAAAACAAATAAAAAGTAGAATTTAAATATAGTCAATATCTAAATAAAAAATGTATATAGTAGAAAAAATAAAAATGTATGAATTGCACCACAAACCTTCTCTTGTTGACCCCTGGGGGGGCGGGGTGCCCCAGCATCGTGTAGCGCGCCACGGCGGCGGGCCACCGCCACACCGGCAAGTCGTGCAGCGCCACACGACGCCACATGTCGTCGTCCTCGCCACCCCAGCCCCAGTAACGGTTACTCCAGCCGTTAACCTGCCACACATAACAAGGTATAANTGCAAGTCCTGTTGTTTTCCTTTCTTTTGTTGCTAAAGTAAGTCTTGTTGTTCTCACCTATGCTTACTGTTGTTCTCACCTTTACTTATTATTGTTCTCACCTATACCTATTATTGTTCCCACCCATACTTTTTATTGTTCACACCTCTACTTATTGTTGTTCTCACCCATACTTGTTGTTGTTCTTACCTATACCTGTTGTTGTTCTCACCTATACATATTATTGTTCACACCTCTATGTACTGTTGTTTTGACCTTTACTTATTGTTGTTCTCACCTATACTTGTTGTTGTTCTCGCCTATAGTTATTGTTGTTCTCACCTATACTTAGTATTGTTCTCACCTATATTTATCATTGTTCTCACCTATGTTTATTGTAGTTCTCACCTATACTTATTGTAGTTCTCACCTATACTTATTACTGTTCTCACCTATACTTATTATTGTTCTCATCTATACTTATTACTGTTCTCACCTATACATATTACTGTTTTCACCTATACTTATAATTATTCTCACCTATCTTCATTATTCAGAATCGGCAAGGAGGCCGGGCGGTTAAGCAAAGCAAAAATTGAAGCAGTGAGTTGCGCGTTCGAGACCGCAAAATGTTGTGAATGTTCTGCGATGTTAAGAATAGGCGACAGGCCTACGGCCTAATAAACGCTGAAACCGCTATTATTATTACTTATATTATTATTCTTCCCACCTATACTTATTATTGTTCTTACCTATCCTCATTATTGTTCTCACCCATACTTGTTTTTCTCACCTATACTTATTATTAGACGAAGCAACAACCATATGTCGCGGATGACCCGCAGTGGGCTCGCTGCCCCATGTTACCCTACTTGAAACTTTGCTAAAATGTAAGAAACTCAGTACTGGTAAGCTACTCCTAAACTGAATAGGTCATCTTAAATTAAATTATCTCCCCATTTTATTGCATCATATTTCAAATTTTCATCTGGAGTTTCGTGTTTAATTTTTTATTCCAAGATCAACTCAAGTTGGCCACTCAACTTTAAGCGATCGTTCATGTCATTTCCTCGCGTCATTAGCTTCTTGAAATTTCTGCAATTGTATTATTATTATTAATATTATTATTATTATTATTATTATTATTATTATTATTAAGTTTAATTTTTTAATAGAAATATCTTAAAAAATAAAATGAATGTCATATTTCGCGCTCAGGGTCACGAATGTCAGGTCCACGAAAGCACGTCCATTATCATGTACTTTTCACTTACTTATCCCGTATCAAAAATACACAAAATTTCTGTTCATCTGCCCAGCCGCTTATCATGACACAAACCAATTCCTTAAACCAAACCAACAAACATTGATATAAACAAGGACAGGAAAATATTTTCCGTATCCTTATTTGATGACAGTGCTGAGGGAATCGCTTCCTCGAAATTCATGGCATTTGTATCCATGTCGCGTGGACATCTCAGGTCACTTGTCCAACTATGGAACAGTTGGGGAATCTCACCACTGCCGTGCTGTAAATTTACTGTTATAAGAATTATAAGAACTCAGAATATGATGATGTATGATTATTTTTAATGAGGTATGATGATGTTGACGATGTATGATGATGTATGACGATGTTTGATGATGTATGATGACGTATGATGATGTATGATGACGTATGATGACGTATGATGATGTATGAAGATGTATGATGATGTATGATGATGTCTGATGATGTATGGTGACGTATGATGATGTATGGTGTTGTATGATGATGTATGATGATGTATGATGATGTTTGATGTTGTCTGATGATGTATGGTGATGTATGATGATGTATGGTGACGTATGATGATGTATGATGATGTATGAAGATGTATGATGATGTATGATGTTGTCTGATGATGTATGATAATGTATGATGATATATGATGACGTATGATGATGTATGATGATGTATGATGACGTATGATGACGTATGATGATATATGATGCTGACGTATATGATGATGTATGATGATGTATGATGATGCATGATGATGTTTGATGATGTATGATGACGTATGATGATGTATGATGATATACGATGATGTATGGTGAGCGTGTAAACAACACGTGTAACTATTTAGAACATCACGTATGCATGTAAACATCACGAAGGGTGCGTGGAGAAGCAACAATATAAGTATCAAAAACATATCAGTGAAGCAAGTAATCAATATTTTCATCGTAATGCGTGGAAATGTTTGTGAATCATTTAATGCCATATTATAGCCAATTGCTGCGTTGCACATAGAATAACAAATATCTTCTTCGTATATATAATAAAAAAGCGTTTAATTCTTTGTCCTTTGCACGACGCATGGATGTGTTATTTCAAAATAAACTGTGTCCTTTTAAGTGAGTAAACTCAAGAAAATTAGTTTGTTCGTATTGTTCAATTAGTGACACACTTTCTTAACCACTTTCTTAACTCAGCACGAGCGAAGAGTGCACTCTCTAACCCTATTGCTCGACCAAACTGGGTCAGGTACATAGAACATAAAAAGGCAGAAAGTGTATCGTTATTTTGACAAAGTCTCACACATTTCTTTTAGTGACTAGCGTCGAATCTTCGCCATTTTTCTTGTATTATAAATGTCATTTGCCTTTAACTTTTAAAATAGGATTATATGGAAGATATTTTGAAAATCGGAATCGTATGTATACTCGTGTTTGTGAATCACGCATAAAGTTTTTGATTTTTATTATCAGAAAAATAATTGATATTGCATAGTGAATAGAACTCAACCAGAAAAGAAAATTTGTGTCACTTCTACGAATGAATATAATTAACCATAACCAGCATCAATGCTCGTGACTGTTTTTTTCATGCATGCATGTGCTGTCCTAATTGAAAATAACATATCTTACATTTGGACAAGGAATAAAAGAAGTAAGTCGTGTGTAAATGATTCTAAATTTCTCTGCAATTCTATATTTTTAATTGCACGTCGAAAGTAGGGCGACGTGGGGCAGCGCGCCCCCCACTTTTTTTAAACTAAATTTTTGATGAAGTTTTAATAGATACGAGGTAGTTCTTTGTTTTGTTTAAAGAAACAGCTAATGAGGAATGTATGATGTGAATTAGACGCCTATATGTTTATGCAATTTTTAATGAAACACTATTTTGTAAAAAGTGTCAAAATGGGCCTATTGCCCCACCCCTGGGGCAATGGGCCCATGGGCTTGGGGCAAGGCGCCCACCCTTGGTCCCTTGACCACAAATCTATATTTTTCGTTTAAAAATGAAAAAGCAACACTTCACAGTTAAAAATAAGAAAATGTAATAAAAAATATGACATTCACTCATTTATTAACAATTAAAAAAAATCATATACTTAATTTGAAAAATATACTCTTGGCTTGAAAAATCTCTCACTGACGTGAAGAAAAATATTTCATTGACATAAAAATGAATATCCTTGACTTAAAAAATATATCCTTGCGGTAAAAAATTCGTCCTTGACATGAAAAAATGTATCCTCGACTAGAAAAAATATATTTAGTTGAT